CTCTCTCTCTCTCTCTCTCTCTCTCTCTCTCTCTCCACATAGATTACACTATCATCGACTCCTCGTCATGCTTCTGCTTCCTCTTCTTAGGTTCTTTAATAAGCTAAAGCTCAGAGAAAGTTCCTCGGCGCGCAAGTCACGGGTGGTGTGAGGGCTGGAGAGAGAGAGAGAAGAAGTGGGGGGGGTGGGTGGCGCGGTGCCGGCGGAGGCGGAGGCGGAGCGATTCGAAGTGTGAGCGCTCCGATCCGCCACAAACCCTTTCGCGCCTTAGATCGCAAGGCCCACAACCACCGCCCACACACCTCGTGGTCTCCCTCACCACACCCCACCCCACCCCACATCGCTCCCCCGCGCGGCGGACCTCGTGATCCGCTTGGGTTCCGCCGGCCCGTCCGACTGGAGCCTCCGCTTGAGTCACGAGGCTTTTCCTTGTTGCGGAGTGATGGGGACGGCATCTGTGGGGCCCTAACTTTTCAGTTAGCTCTGCCCGTCGCCTTTGACGGAAAAGGTTTGGGTGCAAAGCATCGGTAGGTTTCTGAATTGTAGAGGCTGTTGAAGGTAATGATACAACACCATTGCATCGATCCCATGCTTATCAGAATCCAATATACCATCCATCCAATTAAATATTGGACTATTAGGTCATTAATTGAATCGATTAAATATGTAATCAAGTTAATGTGACCAGAACTTTTGCGCCGGAGAAGTGAGATAGTAATTAATATATGGGTGACTTCAGAAAAATAAAAAAATATAGTGCCAAACCATATATGTAAGCAAATATATGATCTTTCTGCAGTTTTCTCAATGGTTTTAAAAAGGGAATCAAGTTACTATAGACAATCCCTTTCCGTGGTAACACAGTCCTATCATTTGGCTATCTAATAATCATTCTTGACATAATTGATTTTATATATATATATATATATATATATGATCAAAAGGTGTTAGTGTTAGTTTGAAAAATGATGATGGAACATGAATGACATGCTTACCCAACAGCAACATGGTTGACTAGGAAGTCTCACACTTGGAATCCTATTTCTCCGTTTGCCAGTATGGAGATCATGGCAGCTAACCCAACAGATTGAAGATTTTTGTGAAGAATGAGTGATCAATCAATCCATATTTCAGGATCTTCTTCCTGAACCAAGATGCCCAATAGCTTCTGTTACACTACAATTAATCTGTTGGAATGAAAAGAGATTTTACATGACTCATGATCTAAAGAACACATTGATCCAAAGAAACATAACCTGTGGCATCTCTATTTTAGTTGACAACAAGCAGGAGCAGCAACTAGAAACTTTCCAGCACCACAAAGTAGTATGATTATGCTTTTCAGTTATACATGGAAAATGATCAAGCAAATCAGTACAAAATCAAGAAGTTGCTTCAACAGCTACAACTTAAAGATGTTCTTCAGCTGTGCATGTATAATAGCAAATCTAATCAGGTTGTTTCGGAATTTGGCACTTTTGATGAATTTAAAGAATTCATCAATGATGATCAGTATCTATCATCTGAAGAGAATTAATAATTTCCATGTGTAACTTTTTCCAATTTATCAAGACTAAAAATAATAATATCAGGTCATACGAAATAAGAATCAGGATAACAATTACGATACATCAGGTAAATGTAACTAACAGGAGTTGAAGTTTATGACCCAGAGAAGGAAGTTTTATGAAAATAGGGTATTTGGTCAGGAAGTTTAGGTGTTGATGCAGAGTCAATTTCTTGTTATTTCCCATTTTAATGCAAACCGCTTTTGAATCATTTACACTGTTCTATTATTTGCGGTGTTTCTCAAGAAATTTCATACTGAAAAACAACAGGTTTGAGTCACTGGAAGGAATTCAGTGGACACCCTTGGTCAAGGCAACAAGAAATTCAGACTGCCAAACAGACAAAAAGAGAATGAAATAACAATCATTTTTGAAGCATTGGGAAAGATGTGGGACTTGATATCTGCCAGCATGGCTGAAAAAGAATATCAAAAGAACTGAGAATGTTCCCAGAGATAAGACCAAAGTTAATTACCTGATTCTTTTAGCAACAAAATGAGAACAGATCATGATGTAGAGGAACTTGCATTTACCACTAATGTCTTGCTCTGACAAATAATAAAAGAAGTTGGCTTCCCTGATATAATAGAAAAACAAAGAATATTTGAACATAAAATTGATCACATGCAAATAAGAACAATTTTTATAATTCCAGCTCTGAACCAGAGTATAACATTAGTTACTGGAATGAGAGCAACAAAAATGTGACATGTTTTTCTTACTGGAGTATAACACTGCTTTAGAAGTGAATCAAGTGATGATTCCACGGCACAATGATCTCTCTCAATGAAGCTCTAATATAACCAGAGTGGGGGTGATAACAGAAATAAATTAGAATGATCCTGCATCACATAAGATAAAAAGAAGACCTATCGTGAATAAAGATCAGTGCATCTTGTGGAAGAAATCATACGATCATGAAAAGTTCTGGACCAACTCATGATACTTGAATAGATTGGTGAGCATTGTTGCATGACCTACCATTGCAGAGAGTATGTAATACTGAAACAATTGACTGTACAAGAATTTTGTGCACATATGCTAGACCTTTGGAACAAGAATACGCCAAAGCGGCAAAGACGAGTAAAAAACCAAAGACAATTTTAATACCAAATTAATATAGGAAAACATACAGAATTTAACAGCTTAGCTAATGAAGGTATAGAGTCAAATTAAGCAATTTTGCTGCAACTACATAATTTGACAAGTCTATAATAATTGGTCTCCCTAATTTCTGCAAACAAAGAGCAGTGGAAACCTGAAGATTTTTATTTGAACACAGAGACCTATCTGAAGAATACTTGGCACTTAAGAACGATCTAGTATCAGTTTGTATGATCCACAAAGAGTGGACAAGCTGCATCAGCTTCGAAGAAGCTAATGGATTATTAGCTACGCATTGAAGGAAATAAAGATTGGTGTGCTAACACCTCCAAATGGTCCCCTACTTGGTCAGGTATAGACTGAGGAAATTACCGACAGAAACCGCTGTATGAGTTGCCAGATCAACAGAAACTGCAGCCAGAAGGAGTGCAGCACCAATTTCCAGTCACATTCATGCCCGGTTCCAGTCTACACTCAAAGAATGAAAAGACTGAACGCGCAAATAACACTAAGCAACAAAAGGGCTCTAATGGAAGCCCCAGTCAACCGAAAAAGAGCACAAGCAGTACCTTTAGACGGGTTCATCAGTGGCGACGATGAAATCACATGGTTGTTTGTGAAGAAGGGAGAAGCATTTCCGAGAAGATCCGGACATCACCGCAGGCCCAGGTCGAGAGCTTTTCGCGTGATCCGGCTTCTGTTCCAGCTGGGCAGAAGTTCGGAACCCCTTTCTCTTCATCTCCCTCTCGCCTTACTCGATCAACAATTCTACATCAAACAACACACTAGCAAACATCGAATACCACAATGGGAATCGCCGTCGAACCTACTGTTCTAGTAATCGTAGGATTCCGCGATGCCAACCGAATGCGATCGCCTCGGAGGCGTAAGAGGACGTAAGAGGAGCATCGGCCGTGGACCCCCTCTTCGGAATCCGAGAACAGGGTTTACTTGCAAGCCGAAACCAAAGGAAAATATCTGATATTAAAGATCGAAGTAGGGTTTTCGGAGTGATCGAAGGGGGTTAGGGTTATTTACCGTCGCCGGCCAGCGGAGATGGGATCTCGGTCTGGTTCCGTTGTTGAAGGCGAGACAGAGGTGGAAGCATCATGCTATTGCTGGTGATGACGGTGCGTGGTTTGCCCTTTTATAGAGTTTAGGCGTCGGACCGGACCGGACCGGACCGACTCAGCATGATTCAACATCAAAAATAACTATTTGAAATTTATACCCCTTTGCTATTAATTTTTTTTGTAAATATTCTGACCACGACGGTGTAGTTGAATAGATTGGATTCCTATATCTCATTTAGGAACCGTGATGAATGAAGTGAATGATTATGGATATGATAATTCACTGAGTCATAAGGAGTTATGATAGATATGACTCA